GCAACACAAGAGTCACCATTACGAAGGCGCTGGTACAACAAGTGCTACAGATCCCGGAGGAGGAACATTATGATGCGTTGGCCTCAGAAGCGCAAATCTTTGAGGACATGATCACACTAGGCCACGCTGAACCTCTCCGACTGATGTCTGCAATCAAGACAGCAAGATTTCCACGACCATGGAGGACTCTTATGGCCACGCTGAACAAGTGCTGCACATCTAAGCACAGCGGCTTTGACAAATGCAGCGGTTACCTCGTCTACATCTTTCACGGCATCGCTTTCATGAAGAACTACGACTTCACCTCACTAATCTGGGGTGACATTCTGGAAATGCGAAGAAGAAAATTTGAAACTGATCTGATCAAACATCTGCCATACATGAGATGGTTTTCATTGCTGGTGCGACACTTCTGCAGAACAATTCCAACTATTCAAAGACGCAAATCATCTGAGAATGTCAGCACTCCAGCCCTACAATACTTGAAGAGAATGCCAGAGGTACGCACACTGGTACCTCTACCTATTCCTGTTCCTCTCCTCCTGCTAGCCGGTCGAAATGATCCACACGTTATACGCTACAGCGAGGAGAACGGTATCATACTCCCTATGGCTCAGATAAACCCCCCTGAGCCTACCCCGGGGAGTCAGCTGAGAGTATGTGAGGGTCCTGAGAGTTCAACCCGGCCACAGAGACCAGTGGCAAGCCGGCCCCATGATGATCAGACTATGTCTGCTGAGGGCCACACCCGTGCTGAAGAGTTTACCCATGATTCGCCAAGCGTAGCCACAACACAAGACGCTGACGATGAGGGCTCTGGGAGCAAGGCTAGGAACGATAACGATGATGATGATGAGGACGACGACAACGCCAATGCAAAGGGAAAGAAAGTCGAGAAAGCCCGCGCTAAGAAAGGACGACTCGTTATCAGGCTTTCTCGGGCTACAACACAAGAGCAGTCTCACCAAATCAAGGACACTCAAGGAAATATCATCAGTGAGACTCGCTCCAAGGTGCGTCATGACAATGCCTCATCATCTACTCCTGTGCAAAGAGTGCAAACCGCGAGCAACCTGGTGGAAGAGTTAGCTTTGTATGACAGCTGCTCTGACCTAGACACAATAAACCGGGCTAACCCCATAGGTGCAGAGGCTGATATTTTCAGTCTCCGAGTAGAAGACGCAGCATCTAGCCCAACTGCGCATGCACAAGCCTCACCTAGCCACTCTGCTGCCTCCCAACAGGTAGTAGTTTCACAAATAGGGGATCTTTTACCCACCTCGCTGTCTCCTTACGAAGCAGCTGAGGATTTACTTTGTGGTCTTCCGCCCCAGACCACTACCCCTCCTTCTAACACATTGAGTCTAGTTTCCACCATCCCAACATTTTCAACATTTTCTAGGACACATACACTGCTCACACCACTGCACACGACAGGTGCACTTTACCTGTCCTCAACGATCGGAGATACGTCGATGATGATCGGAAGTCCTGCTGCTCAACAGATATCTCCATCATTATCTGCAGGCCACACATCGGTAATCTTTACTGATGCTGTGACAACGGTTACTACCCCTGTAACCGGTAACCCTGACCCTACCGACCTTTCTGTCATTTTGCAACGTTTCTTAGATTCCACCATTAAACCATGGGTGCACGAAGCAATAACCGCTCGGGCACAGGAATTCAGGAACACCCCGGCGTTGCTAAATGACATCACCCAACCCCAACCATCATCCTCACATACCCAACAAACCCAACCACTTCCTATCATACCTACCCAACAAACCTCTGAACCATCCACAACCCTACCTCACTCACCTACTGCTTCAAGGGGAACCCAGGATACAGAACTAGTGTCCTCCCCTACTTCGACCACACCTTTTCCTGACCCTAAAACTTTACCGTTCGAGGTACTCGAAACCCTTATGCTAGATCAACTACTAGCTACCGAAGAAGGCAACCTGACCCAGAAACAAAAAGACCTCCTTCGGATCCTTAAGCCTGACAGCTCATGCCGTGATAGTCTCCTTGGTCACAAACGTTCGCATGAGGACCCCGATGACTCGGATCCTCATGAGGGGGAGAACAAGAGACAAAGGACACTTGAGCGTGATGCGTCAACAAGCCAACCCTCTACGCAATCCAACCAACCTGAATCCTCGAACAATCAGCCCCCACCATCCACTCAACACAAAAGCCAAACAGCCAACTCACCCACATCTAGCCCGGTCGAGCTAGAAACAACACTCCTAGGCTCATCTTTCATAGATGTAGACCAAGGATGGAGTGGAAGTCCTGAGGTTGCTACTTCGAGTACACCATTCTATTCAGGCCATCAGAAAGAACCTAGTTCTAATCTGATGATAACGGGCAATCCTGAGGATCCCGGTGTTTCACATGACAGGTCGCCTTCGACACAACAACAAGCTCACTCTAAGCCCTCTGGTAATCAAATACAAGATGAACTGGAAGACCTTCTAGTTCATGATCAGTGGCCTCGCGAGTGGACAGAGTGGGATGATCTTAGAGTGGAAGCGGAGCAGTACGAAATGTGTCGAAGCTGGCAACTCAGAGAATTCCTCAACAAATATCATGCACAAATGATTGGACTCGATGAAGATGAACTCAAGGAAGGGGAGAATCATAAAGAAAATCCCAAGGCACCAGAACCAGTCAAAGAAAAATGGGAAATTGTTAGAATCAGAGCCCCCTTCCTAGAAGAAATCCGAGAGAAAATCTGGCGACAACCTGAAAAAATCAAGAAGTTCAGTGAATTAAAGATGCGAGGAATCAATCACTTGAAAGGAAAATACCGAGGAGGTAACCTGTATATGCTAGGACACAGATCCACAGGGGAACGAAGACAAGTTCTAAATCATAATCTCGCAACAAGTGGATGTCCTATATCGAAAATCCTGGATATCACAGAAGACTACTTGGAAACGATTAAGTTCCTGATCTTTCGTCTACGACGTACCGATGGCTCGGAGTTCACCTGTCAAGAGAATGACTTCTTCCTACTGCACATGGATGATATTTATCAAATGTTCATGAGATGCAGGGAGCTCCCAGTGCACAAAGACAGACTTGCTAGAGAAGGTTTTGAGGCCATTAAGAGATTCATGACAAGACAAGTTCGATTCTACGCCTCCCATGATCTCCAGATGACTCTTGAGCACAATTATTCAAAGGCGAATCTTACACGACCGGACTTGGATAGACCTGGGCTTGAAACCTTTGCAGCATATGATACATTTGACAAGCCCATCTCAGTCATTTATCTGAATCACAAAGAAGAGAAGCGTCTGATGATTGTTGAAGACATTCAAAAATACTGTGATGGGACCCTGCAAATCATCCGAGAACAGCTCCAGTCAAGGAAAGAAGAGCTAGATAAAAGACAGAATGAAGCCTCGAAGGAAGAAATCAAAGAATTGGAAAGAGTCAATAAAATCTTGAAAGCCATCGAGAAACAACTAGACAGAAGAAGGTCTCTCAGAAATTACGAGCATGCACTCAATCTTAGAAAGCATTATTTTAAAGCTCAGAAGTGAAGAACAGAAGAAGCAAGAACATCTGATCACAAAGGGGGAGATTGTTAGAGATATTTTCATTGTAATTGTGATCAATGTTACTTTGCTAGTTTATAGTTAGCTAGAATAATGAATAGGCCTTTTAAGGCAATTTTGTAATAAAGGTTTTATACCTTTTTAGGTATGGGCCTCCTAGGAAAAGGAGCCCAAATGATTGTAAAACCTACCTTTCCCGTCAGGCTATATATATGCCTTAAGGGAAAGGCTAGGTTAAGCTTTTCAACATTCCCTGTGCCGCAGTGCCTATATCGGTGATAGAAGTTTTACGCTAAATTGTTCATCATTCTGTAAACTTCTTCATCATTCAATGGAAAGCTTCATTCCCAGATCTATCTTCCATACATACATTTTATAGACTAGAAAACAGGGACCTAACAGGAAGCATGATTTGTAAGTGATCTCTTCCCTATATATATATATATATATATATATATATATATATATATATATATATATATATATATATATATATAGGAACTCTTCTGGTAAGGTATACCTTACCGGAGTCGCCGTGCGGCCTCCACGTTTTGAGGGCCTTCCCGGTGGAATTTGTCAATGACATTTTTTGAGCATGTTCTTCATCAAGTCTAGTACATTCACACCAAATTTCAGCAAACAATTCAATCGTAAAGACAATCAAATGATTTTTGGAAGATAACTGCACCCTTTATATACATATAAAACGCAATTATATTCCAAAAATCGTTTGACAGCCTTCCCGGTTGAATTTTTTGCTGAAATTTGGTCTGTATGTACTAGACTTGATGAAGAACATGCTCAAAAAGTTTCATCGAAAAATTCCACCGGAAAGGCCCTCAAAACGTGGAGGCCGCACGGCGGCTCCGGTAAGGCATACCTTACCGAAAATTTTTCCTATATATATATATATATATATATATATATATATGTATATATATATGTATGTATGTATATATATATATATATAGGAGATCAGGTAATGCCCAAACGCAAATGGAGATCACAAGAGGAAGCTAAAAGACATAGTTTCTGATGCCCATTTTCCGAAGAAAGGACATACAATGTGATTGGGTATGAATGGCCATATTCAATTGGCTGCAAGAAGTGTCAGAAACAAGTCAAGTAGCCCAACTACCCAAGTGTGAAAAAAGCTGGATTTAAGTCTTCTTAGGCCCCAAATTATCAAGTAAAAAACAGTAGGTAAAGGCTAATTCTGGTTGCTCTTGAAAAGTTTTAGTATGCTTCTGTATTGCCATCTGTCAAGTGCTTAGGATCTGCTTAATTTAACGTTGATCCTCAATATATTATACTCCAATTGGAGGATAAGTATATGGATACATTGATCTATAACTATTATAGTGTTATACAGTAGAAGAGAATCTGTGCAACCTTTTGTTTTTAATTAAAAACAGAAGAGTAAAAATTCCCAAGATTGCTATTAAAGACCGATTAAACCACACATCAGTGAGTTGCAATCCCCAACAACAAAGTAAAAGCTTAAACAAAAGTGACTATATTTCGGGAAAAGAAATTGTCTAAAGTAAGAACATACTCTGTATAAAATAAAAAACAAGGCTGCTTATCAAAGTGCAATTAAACCACAACTGTAGCAGTATGCATTGACATTGTTAAAGATTGAACAATCGACCAGTGTATCATAATAGTCTTCTTCACGGCATGCAAAAAATACTACTTAGCTTTGTTTGTTTGGACAATTAAGACTATCATAGTAGTCTTCTTCACCACACGCTCGACAAAGCCTTTTCCTCTTTTTCTGCTGCTCCATTTTCAGTTCTTTCCCTCCTTTAATTCGCCTCCCACTCCCTCCCACTCCCTTTGATTTGTGCTTCTTTAGTATTTTCTAAATATCCTTGTTTTGAGTAAAGAAAATATTCATACTTCAACTCACCGGTTTTTTTCTTCTTTTCAGAAGAATATTTCCTCACACTAAAACCGACATGATGAGCATAAGTTTTGTAGAATTTCTCACACTCGTTCAACGTTTCAAACAACATTCCTTCTTTAGGTTTCAATTCTTCGTCACATGTAGGGATCCATTCTTTACAAACACACATGACTTCCATACCCATTTTATCCGGTGTAGGATGTTCTTCATGTTCATGAATTTCATTGCTATTATTATCTGCGAAGAAGATAAAATGTAACATAGTAAACTAAGTAATAGCAAATCATAATTAATGCTTTACGAAAACGGATTTATGGAACAATATTAATGCTTATGCCAATATATAGTTCTCCTACGTTAATAGCAAATAACTACAATCTGTGATAACAATCTGTGTTAATAGCTTTACAAATAAGGCTTTATGGAGCAAGTAGCTATTTTTTTCTAAAGTAATAGCAAATCATTGTTTGCCCAATCTGTACATATTCTCCATTCAAATAAGTACCACATAATGATAAATGTATTTGAAACACATGACACTATGTAATCAGTAATCATATACCATATTATATTATAATCCGTATAAAGATACATACTTGTTGTAGAATGATCCTGAGCTTGAGAAGAATTCGATTGAGCTGCCATTTTTCCAGTCGTTTCACTAATCTCTGTAGCAGAATATTAATGGAATCCATGTCCTGCGTAACAGAAGCAGAGTTTAACGGAGTGCAGGTAAGCTAAAGAAGAAGGCCTAAAGTCGGAACTCGGAAGAGAACGCAGGTACGCGAAAGAATAAGAAGTGCGAGAGAGGAGCCAACATAAGACGCAAGCGCGTAGTCCGGATGGCCTAGAAGTTGGGAATGAATAAGAGTTCAGAGAGAAGCGCAGAAGACGGAAGTCAAAAAGGAGTGCAGGTATGCTCTGGAATATAGGAGAGAGGAGGCAGAGAGCGTGAGATGCACGGAGCAGGTGCGTATAGTCGCTGGAGAAAAATAAATGATGAAGGACGGAGGAGATTAGACTGAGCAGATCTAATGGTTTAAAATTAAAGTTCTCATTTAAAAGGGATTTCTCATTCTAAGGGAGGTTCTCATTTGAACCCTCCCCTATAAATATATATATATATATATATATATATATATATATATATATATATATAGAGTAATGATCCGGTCAGGAGTTCCTGACCGGAACCGCCGTCCGGACCGCGGCGTTTGGCCGCCTTCCCGGTGGCTTTTTTTGATGAAATTTTTATGACATGTTCTCCATCAAGTCTAGTTTATCCACAAAAAAATTCAGCCAAAAACTCAACCGGGAAGGTCGTCAAATGATTTTTTCAAGTTAACTTGTCCGGAAAATACATATTCTGGATCAGTTAACTTGCAAAAATTATTTGACAACCTTCCCGATTGAGTTTTTGGCTGAATTTTTGTGTGGATAAACTAGACTTGATGGAAGACATGTGATAAAAATTTCATCAAAAAATTCCACCCGGAAGGCAGCCAAACGCCGCGGTCCGGACGGCGGTTCTGGTCAGGAACTCCTGACCTGAACATTTGTGTATATATATATATATATATATATATATATATATATATATATATATATATATACAAGAATGTTCAGGTCCGAACGTTCGGACGGGACCCTCCGTCCGAACACCGCCGTTTGGGGCGGTTCCCGGTGGAATTTTTTGATGAAATTTTTTGAGTATGTTCCTCATCAAGTCTAGTTTTTCCATACCAAATTTCAGCTCAAAATTCGATCGGGAAGGCATTCAAATCATTTTTTGAAGTTGACTGCATTTTTATATGTATATTTAGACGCAGTCAACTTAAAAAAATGATTTGAATGCCTTCCCGATCGAATTTTGTGCTGAAATGTGGTATGGACAAACTAGACTTGATCAGGAACATGCTCAAAAAAATTCATCAAAAAATTCCACCGGGAAGTGACCCAAATGGCCATGTTCGGACGGCGTTCGGACCGTGGGCTGCTGGACGGGATCATTCCTCTCTCTCTCTCTCTCTCTCTCTCTCTCTATATATATATATATATATATATATATATATATATATATATATATATATATATATATATATATATATATATATATGTAGAGTAAAGTTTATGTCAGGACCTCCAAAAACGGACCTCCGTACAGACCTCGGCGTTTGGGCCCCTTCCCGGTGGAATTTTTTGATAAAATTGTTTGAGCATGTTCTTCATCAAGTCTAGTTTACCCATACCAAATGTTAGCTAAAAATTCCATCGGGAAGGCAGTCAAATTATTTTTGGAAGTTAACTGCATTTTATATGTATATAAAGTGCCCGGTTAACTTCAAAAAATCGGATATAGGGTTAAGATCGGATATAAAGTGCCCAATATATATATATATATATATATATATATATATATATATATATATATAGGGTTAAGATCGGATACAAAGTGTGCTTCCGGTACAAAATGCAAATTCATCTCATCCGTCCAATATAACAAAATTAAGAGTCAGATTTTATTTGAGCATTAATACTCAATCCGTATTAGTGGGAGAATTTTTCTCCTATAACCACAACATGGGACCAGCCATTAATGACATTGGTTTCCTATCTTGACCGTTGCATTATTAAAATCAATGGTCAGGATTAGTTTGTATTTTGTAAATTAGGATTAATTTGTATGTGATCCTAAATCTATATATATATATATATATACATATATATATATATATATATATATGCACATCTATCAATGCACTCATTCCGCAAGCTCACTCTATACTCAATGGCAAGCAGTTGCAATACTTTCAGATCAGATGGAGGAGACAATGACCACCACCAAGAGCCACCCAATAAGAGGCATCAAGGTTTTAAATAGCCGTAGCGGCAGCGGTAGCAGTAGCGGTCATCGCGGTAGCGGCCTGTAGCCGACTGTAGCGGTTGCAGCGGCGTGAAATGTTTTCATTTGCGCAAAACATAAATGTATTTTTTCACATCATTCACACAACATTTAATTTTGAGTTTCACTCCATGCATCACTATTAATGTCTTTTTTCACATCATTCACACAACATTTACACATTTACACATCAAACAGTTTGTGATGTACTGCCGGATATGTCAATAGCGGGCTGTAACGGGCGGCGTAGCGGATTTTTCCCGTGATTTGGAAATCACACACGAATAGCGGACCGTAGCGGTAGCGGCCCCTACCGCGACCGCTATATAGTGGCCGCTATAGCGGTAGCGTGCCGCTATTTCAAACCATGAGAGGCATACCTCTTGTGCTGCCGTTAAGGGGCACAGTAGAGGGAAAGGTGGCCCTGAGAATGCCAATTGTAGATACAAAGGTGTCCGCCAGAGAACCTGGGGAAAATGGGTATCTGAGATTCGGGAGCCCAATGGGGGCTCACGTGTATGGCTAGGTACATATAATACTGCTTATGAAGCTGTTGTAGCTTATGATGCTGCAGCACGTAGCATTTTGGGAGCAAAAGCGAAGATCAACCTCCCACACCTCTGAATCAATGAGCCAGATCGGCCTCCCTGCAACCCCAAGGAAAGTATCCAGATTTCCCTAAATCAGGCTGCGTCAGGTACCAAGAATTATATATTGTTGCATCAAACCTAATCCCTGAAATGTTGAATTGTTAAAGCATATATACCAATACCGTAATTGAGGGTGTTTGGAACTGATTCTGCTTCTACTTTCTTTTTAAAGCAGAAGCAAAAGTAGAAGCAGTTCTCAAAAGATGGTTTCCCCCGGCTTCTAAAAAAAACTGCTTCGAGGAGTAAATTATAGCACCAGAAGTACTTCTATACTTTCATCCAAACACTTCAGCTTCTGTTTCTGCTCCCTGAAGGAGCAGAAGCAGTTTTAAGAATCAGATCCAAACACTCCCTTTATGTTCTCATTTAATGTCTTAATTTGAATCAGCTTTACAAAGTACTCCTGCCGTCCCAATTTGTTTTGCAAAGTCAACTTTTTTTGGTCAACTAATAATAAAAGTCAACCCTTCTTATGCATAATTAATTTAATTCTTAATAAATAAAATTTACATATTCATAAACTACATCAAAATCTCTTCAAAGTTGTAAACTCCAAATTAGAATATAATTAAAAATTGGCACCCTAATTAAGTGAACAAAACGCAACTGTTTGACCAAGAAAAGTCAAATTTGCAAATCAATTCGGGACAGAGGTAGTATTATACTACCTCCCAAAATACTTAGCCAAATCATAAAATTTGGACCATAGTTTTTATTAGTAAAATATTATGAAACTTATAAATTTTATACTTTTATGAAAGTAATTTTATCAAAGGACATTTTTATATCATATTTATATTATAAATAATTTTTAATAAATATATATAGTTGGTCAAAGTTTTGAATTTGGCTAATTATTTGGGAACGGAGGTAGTATTAATCTTTTAAAAGTAGGAATGTGCAGTGACTCCTCATAATTGTGTGTACCTAATTTATGTTTACTAAAAATGTGCAATGATTTATTCATAATCAGGCTATGTAGGCCATACCTCAAATTCTTGTAGCAGCTTCGATCAAGAAGTGTCTTCTAGCTTCGCTAATAGTAGAGAAACTGATGATCTAAGATCGAATTGGTAATAATTGATAAATGAATGAGAGCAGTGTATGACACGACATTAGTTAGCATTACACGACAAATGTTAACTTTACAAAAATGTCACCGATTAATGCACTTCATGAGGGAGTTATGACACGAAATTACAAAAATGTTAGCATTATATATATATTTTTTCTTTTTAGATTTGATAATTGCATTTTATATCAATGTTAATGCTCTAAATTATTGCACTTTTTGTCAAAATCGCTTTATATACGGTCATATCATTGCACTTATTTGTCATAATCATTGCACTTCTTGTGATATTGACAACATTACATACAAAATATTCATTGCATACTCTCCTCAATCGTCTTCAACCTAAGGTTCTTCTTCAATCTTGGGTTCGCCTTCAACCTCGGCCGCCTTGGCTGAAGAATCTGAGTTGTTGGAGCGGCGGTCCATCGCCATTCTTTGACAACATTAAATATTAACCCTAATTTCATTAATGAATAAAAAAGAACCCCACAAACCTTAATCTCAAATGGAAAGAGATCAAGCACGCTCGTTGACAGAGGCACAAGGCAACTATGCGTCGGGACGGCGGCGGCCATGGCAGGCTTGGTGGCGACGACGAGTGCGGCTGGACGTACGAAGGAAGAGAGCATGTGGCACGCAGTTGGATGGAGGTGGTGAGCAGGCGGACGTACGGCAACGCGGCGGCTGGGCGGCAGAAGAAGGTGATGGCTGGGCGGCGGCGGGGCAGTAATGGCAGGCGGGTGTGCATGAGTACTGGAAAGCTAGAGGCTAGGGTTCGAGAAAAAGAGTAGGAGGTTAGGGTTTTATAGGCTTAACATAAAGGGTATATTAGTCCATACAAATTAAGTATTTAATTATTAATTACGAAATTAATTAAATATTATAGATTTAAATATTATTTTGGGGAAAAAAAACTAGTTAGGTCATAGATTGGGAAACAGAGGGAGTTTTAGTTATACATGAGATAATTATTTCATTAAGGAACTCGATAAACGCTTGGGTGTGATCTGAAGAGATTGAAGAAAGAAAAGAAAGTGAAAAAAAGATTTAGACGATTAGAGAGGAACGAAGTACTAACCCCCATCGTCGATATTTGATAAGATGACATTCGGATTTTGAAGACACTTCAGTGAAAATTTGTTCGCGTTTTTGGAACATTGAAACGGAAGAAGGGAAAGTGGTTTTTGAGTAGGCCTGGGATCGGTTCGGTTCCGCTTCAAAATTGATGGAACCGTTTATAATAACGCAAATCTTAAATTCGGTTCGGTTCCAATAAAAAAAAATCAAGAACCGTTTGAGAACCGAATGATGTGTAAACGGTTCGGTTCTGGCTTTTTTCGGTTCCTGTATTTTTTTCTAATCCTAGAAAATTAACTTTTTAATTTCTGCTATATAAACAAAAGTAGTTGAATTTACGATTTTTACAAGGCTCGCAAAAACATCTAGATTCATACATTTTTACGACAAAGAAAGAAGATTGAGGTCATTGGTCTAGTAAGGGCTCCTATGTAAGAGCTATATTCTACATGAATAGAGAAGCAAAAGATTAGAAAATCCATCATTTTTCTGTTTTAGACTTTTCATCGAACAACGGGTGTGCAACCAATACTTTATTAGTTCAACTTTCAGTTACCAATACAACAATACTTTATTAGTTCAACTTTCCACTGAAGTAAAACTCCTCACCCAACTGACCCAAGGCCTGAGAAGCATACTGGAAGTTGTCAAATTCATCACTAATGCCAATATATAAGGTCTATTCCTACCTATTAGGAAGTAAAAGAGTGAATGAAGGTTACAAACATTAACGAAACAATTTTTTTGTTTCTGGACTAATAGTTGAGGGATGTATTTGTTTATTAACTGAAAAACATATGATCCATGATTAAATAAAGTATCCCTCATTATCTATCAATAAATATTTACAACTAAAAAATTAAGTAGGAGTTAGAGGAAACCTGAATATCTCGTAGGGGGGAGTATGAGCAGCGTCTTAACAGTCCCAAAATCAAAGGATGTTGGAAGGGCTTCAAGAGATGAACATGTTCGAAGGGCTTCAGAAGCTGGAGTTCCGCAGACTTAGGTGCTGTTCTGTTCGTCTTATTCTTATTACTTATTGCTTATTCTTATTTTATTCAGATCAGATCAGATCAGATCAGAAAAATTCAGATCAGATCAGATCAGATCAGAAAAATTCAGATCAGATCAGATCAGATCAGAAAGATTCAGATCAGATCAGATCAGATCAGAAAGATTCAGATCAGATCAGAAAGATTCAGATCAGATCAGACCAGATCAGAAACATTCAGATCAGATCAGATCAGAAAAGTTCAAACATGATTTATCACTTTTATTATTATATTAATTATTATTATTAATATTGTTATTACAATTATGATTATTATTATTATATAATTATTATTAATAATATTAATAATAATATGATAAAAAAAATAAGATATTAATAATAGTTATAATATTTTAATATAATAATAGTAATATAAATGTAATTATTAAGAAGACTATTATTATTATTATTATTATTATTATTATTATTATTATTATTATTATTATTATTATTATTATTATTATTATTATTATTATTATTATTATTATTATTATTATTATTATTATTATTATTATTATTATTATTATTATTATTATTATTATTATTATTATTATTATTATTATTATTATTATTATTATTATTATTATTATTATTATTATTATTATTATTATTATTATTATTATCATTATTATCATTATTATCATCATCATCATCATCATCATCATCATCATCATCATTATCATTATCATTATTATTATTAGTATTATTACAATATAATAATAATAATATGATTAATGTTAATATAATATTATATTATAATTATATGTAATTATAATTATAATTACAATTATAATTCTTATAATTATAAGTATAATCAATTGTATTTATTATAATTATATCTATAAATATTTATAATTATAATTGTAATTAATTATAATTATAATAATTATAATTATAATTACAATCATAATTATATATATGATTATAATTATAATTATAATATAATATTATAATAATATAATACTAATTATAATAATAATAATCATGTTATTATTATATTATTGTAATAATAATATGAATATAATAATATCATTATTATAATATTAATTGTATTTATATTACTATTATTATATTATAATATTATAATTAATGTTAATATAATTATAATTATTATTAATTATAATATAATAATTATAATTATACTTATAATTATAATTTATGATTATTATTATTATTATTATTATTATTATTACTATTGTAATTATTTTACGGAGTAATTATAATAATATTGATAACTATAGTTACAATTATAGAGATAAATATTGTAATTATAATTACAATTATAATTATATAAGTAATTATAATTAAAAATATAATTACAATTATAATTATATCTATATTTATAATTAGTGTAATAAGTATAAATTTTTTCATTTTAAATTTAATTTTAATTATTATTATTATTATTATTATTATTATTATTATTATTTTTATAGTTACGATTATAATTATAATTTTATTTAAATTATATTTGTAATTGCAATTATAATAATTATAATTATAATTATAATCATAGAAATATTCAAATCAGATCAGATCAGAAAGATTCAGATCAGATCAGAAGGATTCAGATCAGATCAGAAACATTCAGATCAGATCAGACCAGATCAGAAACATTCAGATCAGATCAGAAAGATTCAGATCAGATCAGAAAGATTCAGATCAGATCAGATCAGAAAGATTCAGATCAGATCAGAAAAATTCAGATCAGAAACATTCAGATCAGGCGAAGAGAACAGCTTCTTAGAGTGAGGTCGTGTACGTTACTACGTTAGAGGGAGTAATATTAGGTTAAGAAACTAGAGTGTAAACTTTAAAGGTGTACAGGCCTAATTTATTACTTTGGGCCAGCCCATCACCCTATATTTTATGCAAGTATATATTATCTTCGGTTCCTAGTAGTTATAATTTTGTTAAACCGGAACCGAACCGTTTGTAGTATTCTAAGAACCGAACCGAAAAAACCTATTTCTCTATTGTCAGGAACCGAACCGAACCGGTAATTTCGGTTCGGTTCGGTTTTTCGGTTTTCCGGTTCTAAGTCCCAGGCCTAATTTTTTAGCCTTGTAGGAATGCAGGCCTGGTCAGATACACGTCAGATTTGGGCTGGGCTTTTCCTTTACTTCCTCGCTGTCATACCCATGTACGAGGTATAAGGGTATGTTTGCAAAATATAAAAAAAAACGATTTTGGTCTGTTTGGTTTTTGTTAGGTTTTATTTGCTATCACTACTAATAAGTGCTTTTGAATTTTTTAAAGTGGTTTTGGGAGAATTGCCGCAAGATCAACCACTAGCTTTGATTGTCTGCTATTGGCTTAATTCGAGGAGTGGGGATGGATATCCGGTCATCTGGTTATTCTTGGCGTAGAGGAACAGGACAGAGGGGCGATGAAGGAGGCTGTTGAAGTTATTGATTCAGATCGGCAGTTCGAGGTCCTTGTGACAGACGATCCGAGGAGGCGCAATAGAGAGCGGAGGAGAAATTCCCAACACGTGAATCGATTCATTTTATTCGAGGTTAACGAGTCTTGAATGGAAAATATTGAGGATCGGTATAAGAAGATGGCTATCGGTGCGGAGGAAGAAGAACTTGATCTAGATGAATCTGAAATCGAGGATACTCTGACAGAGGAGACTAGACCGGGATTTTTTGCACTTTAAACTCACTCGCCAAAGGCCAGTTTTGTGGCTGTTATAACATTCAAACTAGTCACTAGCTCTTCCTATTTGATCTCCATATCCACATCCTTTCTATGAACCACTACAATTTTTATTTTGATTCACTTCACTCCATCCCTTACATTTGTTTACATGAGATCCTCTTCCGTGATATGATGATTGATGACATGATCCTCTTCCGTGAGAATTTACCCAAAATAGGACTAAAAAGGTTTGGAAATTCCAAAATAGGACTGATATGTTTTTATTTCCAAAAAAGGACTAATTACTGTCATGTTTTGGTAGTACCAGACTTCAAACGTGGCAGTATTTTCCAATCTTGGCAGTAATTACTCCTATTTTGGGAATAAAAAACATGACAGTCCTATTTTGGAATTTTCAAATTGTTTTAGTCCTATTTCGGGAACTTTCCCTAATCCAATTCCACGACCACTAATTTCTCCGTGTCTTTTGAATTCTTACTTTTTTTCCTTTAGAGACAACTTTGACTTGAGCAACATAAAAGTGCTATTTATGTTGATGTTCGGGTAACATAACCGGCGAAACCCAGGAGTAACATTTAAAAGTGCCATTTTGAACGTTTTTTTTATGTTCGGTACTTAATTGATTGATCATTTTGTATGGGGTTTAATTGATTTTTTTATAAAGTAGGGGGCTATTTTGATAGTTTTCCCTTTTGCTTAATTTCCTTGATTTAACTAAGGAATAAAACGAGGAGTGGAGTTATTCATGTTGATCGACGAGTTCCAATACCATTTTGAAGAGAGAAAAAGGAAAGTGAAAAACTCTAATGGAGGAAAAATCATTTATCCACTTTAATTCACCACAATTCATCACAAATAATGGAAGATGGTGAGTTGTTTATAGGATGATTTCTCTTGCTCCAAAGATGTGCCCCTTCATATCATTCACCTATCAAATTTAATTTCTAGATAGTTATGAATTTAAAATTCACAAAAGACTTTTTATACTTCTAGGTTATAGAATGAACGAATAAACTTACAAGTGCTTCAAGTGCCATTTCTTTTAATTTTCTATTATATTGTTTCAAGTTTAGTTTACGTATTATCCAATATTGGTTAATTTCTAAAAGAGCATATTTGTTATTGCACCAAAAACAACTTCTTTACACTAAGGAGCACAAAAAGTTCCTTGAAAATGCATTTAGAAAGTTTCTCTCTGTTGAAATATAAACTAGAATAATATTTAAGATGAAGAGAATGATTTTCTGTGTATTTCATTGAAGGGTAAAGCCCTATAAATATAGATTACAAAGATAGAATATTCCTATAAAAGATGCTATACAATAATACTATATATGGTATATTCCTAATATATTCTAAAGAATATTCTAAAGTATATTCTAATATACTTTCACACTCCCCCTCAAGTTGGAGCATAGATATTTATCATGCCCAACTTGTTACATAAATAACCAACTCGAATTCCATTTAGTGCTTTAGTGAACAAATCTCCAAGTTGTTCCCCAGTCTTCACATATCCTGTAGAGATCAATCCTTTTTGTATCTTCTCTCGAATAAAATGACAATCGACCTCAATATGCTTTGTTCTCTCATGAAATACAGGATTGTTTGCTATGTGTATAGCAGCTTGGTTATCACACCACAATTTAGCAGGCATTGATGTCTTCAGTCCGAGCTCGGTCAATAAATGGCTTATCCATATGATCTCACATGCAGATTGTGCCATAGCTCGATATTCTGATTCGGCACTCGAACGAGAAACCACATTCTGCTTCTTACTCTTCCAAGATACAAGATTACCACCAACAAAGACACAATAACCAGATGTAGATCTTCGATCATCTTTAGAACCGGCCCAATCAGCATCTGCAAAACATTCTATTCTCATGTGATCATGGTTTTGATAAACAATACCTCGTCCTGGTGCACCCTTTAAGTAACATAATATGTGTTCTACTGCAGCCCAATGATCAATGGTTGGAGATGACATGTATTGGCTCACTACACTCACAGAATAGGCAATATCTGGACGAGTGACTGCGAGATAATTAAGCTTTCCAACCAGTCTTCTATACCTTTCTGGGTCTTCAAACGGTGTGCCTTCTTGAGTGAGTTGCACGTTGGGAACCATGGGTGTTGTACTTGGTTTTGCCCCTAATTTCCCTGTCTCAGCTAGTAAGTCAAGTACATATTTACGTTGAGATAGAAATATGCCTTTCTTACTTCGTGTTACCTCAATTCCCAGAAAGTATTTCAAAGAGCCAAGATCTTTCGTCTGGAATTGACTATGCAGAAAATTCTTAAGGGCCAAAATACCTGCATTATCACTCCCTGTAATCACAATATCATCAACATACACCACAAGCAATGTGACACCTGATTCTGTTTGTTTATAAAAGACAGAGTGATCTGATTTGCCTTTTATCATTCCAAATTGTTCAATTGATTGACTGAATTTCCCAAACCATGCACGGGGACTCTGTTTCAGACCATAAAGAGATTTGCGAAGTCGACAAACTTTACCATACTCCCCCTGAGCAACAAATCCCGGAGGTTGCTCAATATAGACTTCTTCCTTAAGGTCACCATGCAAAAATGCATTTTTAATGTCCAACTGATGTAAGTGCCAATCATGAGTTGCAGCGAGTGAAATGAGTAACCTGACAGATGTTAATTTAGCAACAGGAGAAAAAGTGTCAGAATAATCAACACCATAGGTTTGAGCATAACCCTTCGCAACTAATCGGGCTTTCAACCGAGCAACAGATCCGTCTGGGTTAACCTTAACAGCAAAGACCCACTTACATCCAATAGATTTCTTCCCTGTAGGCAAGTCAACCAAATCCCATGTACCATTAAGATCTAAAGCATTCATTTCCTCTACCATGGCATGACGCCATTCAGGATGAGACAAAGCTTCTTTGACAGATTTGGGAACAGAAATAGAATCAATGGAAGCAATAAAAGAACATGAAGCAGGAGATAACTGATTGTACGACACAAATGAAGAAATAGGATGAGTACAAGACCGTGTACCTTTACGTAGTGCTATTGGGAGGTCAAGATCTGATGCGGAGACAAGATCTGAAGATGCAGGTACTGGTTCAGGACATGAGATCGAAGTCGAAGTAGTATCAGGATAAGTAATCACAGGTATCGCCGGTGGAGGGTGATCAGGTGCTTTGTGTCGACGGGTGTATACCAAATGTACGGGAGGCCTAGGGTCAGGAACGGTAACTTGTGGAATATTTGTCGAAAGTGTGGACTCAGGAATAGTCATCGTGTAAATGAGTATATCATCATTACTCTCATGAATATCTGCCTTAGATGATGAAAAAGGTGTATTTTCATGAAATGATGCATCAATAGAAACAAGATATCGACCAGTACTCGGACAAAAACATCTATACCCCTTTTGGGCTCGAGAATAACCCAAGAAAATACATTTTAATGATTTGGGATCTAACTTTGTAAGATGAGGATTAACATCTCTAACAAAACAAGTGCAACCAAATATTTTAGGTGGGATAGGAAAAAGCTCTTTGTTTGGAAATAGACAATGATAAGGAGCTTTACCATTCAAAACAGAAGATGGCATTCGATTTATCAAAAAACATGCAGTAGACACGGCATCTGCCCAAAACTGTTTAGGCACATTCATTTGGAATAGAAGAGCCCTTGCAGTTTCTAACAGATGTCGGTTCTTTCGTTCTGCAACTCCATTTTGAGGAGGTGTGTCAACGCATGAAGTTTGATGAATAATGCCATGTTGAAGCATAAATGACTTAAATGTAGCAGATAGATATTCTTGGGCATTGTCTCCTCTTAACACCCGAACAGGAACGTTAAACTGAGTTTTAATTTCAGCACAAAAGGAAGAAAAATGAGTGAACAACTCAGATCGACGTTTCATGAAATACAGCCATGTCATACGGGAATAGTCATCAACAAAGGTAACAAAATATTTAAAACCAGCTTTAGACACAACCGGGCAAGCACCCCAAACATCAGAGTGAACAAGGTCAAATGGAGCATTTGCTCGTTTATTAACTCGCGGGCTTAAGCTAGTACGATGGTGTTTCGCAAATTGACATGACTCACATTGTAAAGAGGTCATCTTATTAAATTGGGGATTGATTTGCTTCATTAATGGGAGAGATGGATGTCCTAATCGGTAATGAGCATCTAACAAAGTCCCAACCCCAAGACAAGAGATACCTTTTGTGATGGATGTATCCAAAATATAAAGACCAGCTGACTCATGTCCTTTACCAATAATCTGCTTCGTTAACAGATCCTGAAACACACAATATCCAGGAAAAAATGTTACAGAACAATTAAGAGTACGAGTGATTTTACTGATGGAAAGCAGATTAAATGCAAAATTAGGAAGACTCAAAACAGACGATAATGGTAATGTAGAAGTTGGAACAACAGTACCAGATCCAAGAACGGGTGAGGTAGATCCATCAGCTAAAGTGACACTAGAAGTAGGTAAATATGAATGAAATGACGAGAATAGACTAGGATTACCGGTCATATGGTCTGTGGCACCTGAGTCAATGACCCATTTCGAGGATGATGAAACAAGACATGTGTTTGAGATACCTGAATTGGCGATTACCGAGGTAGGAGCAAAAGAATGCTTTAGAGATTCTTTGCAGCACATAACTTTGGCATCAGATGAAGTGGTAGCGGTAGCTAGAGTAGTCGAATTTCCTTGATTTTTGAATGCCAATTTTCTACATTCTTTGATCAAGTGTCCGGGCTTCTTGCAGTAATTGCATATTATTCCTCTGTCAACTTGACCCGTACAAGACATTTTTTTTTTTTTTTTTTGATTTTTTTTTTTTTTTTTTTTTTTTTTTTTTTTTTAATGAGTCAGCAAGTAGATAGAAAAATGAGATGATTAGTAAAAACTTACAGCAACTTCCCCTTTTGTGGACTCAATTTCGAAACTAAAATATCCAGCTTGCACTCAAAAGTTACTGCGTTGACTCCAGAGTTATGCGAGACCCCAGCACGTGCGAACAAATTAGTGAAGGAGCGGAGCGGAAGTGAGAACGCTGAACGCCTTCAACGACCAGAAGAACTTCGTCTCCTACGGCGGAGTTGGTGGCATGAGTGGAATCGGAAGTAACGGCCTCCCCTTCGGCGGCTTTGCCAGCGGCGCGGATGTCCACAGATATGCGCGACCCCAGCAGATTGCGAACAACTAGATGAAGGAGCGGATGTCCGTCCACAGATATGCGCGACCCCAACACGTCAGCGACCAGACTTTCTCCCACTGTCTCACAGATATCCGTCCCTTGCTGCCTTGCTGGAGCAAGAACGAGGGACTCTCAGGCGAGTCTGTGGAAGAATTCCGATCAAATCTCCGGACAGAAAAGATGTATTAATTGTGGGAATTTCTACGGGAAGATGGTTGGAGGTTCTGGGAAGTAGGAGGTTCTGGGAAGAGGTTCTGAGATTTGGAGGTTCTGAGAAGTTAAAATTTCTGGGCTGATGTTCTGAATAGAGGTTCTGGTTTGAGGGTGTTTAGAGTTTCTTGAAGACAGTGTGGTGCCTGAGGTTTTGAAGATTCTGGACTGAACTCAGGTTCTTGGAGAAATAACCCGGTCTGAAAACTAAATGAGATATGAAAAACTAGACTAAAAAATTGAAAACTAAACTGAATTGGATTGCTCTGATACCATGTTGAAATATAAACTAGAATAATATTTAAGATGAAGAGAATGATTTTCTGTGTATTTCATTGAAGGGTAAAGCCCTATAAATATAGATTACAAAGATAGAATATTCCTATAAAAGATGCTATACAATAATACTATATATGGTATATTCCTAATATATTCTAAAGAATATTCTAAAGTATATTCTAATATACTTTCACACTCTCAAATATCTGGGCTCCCTAAATGTGAGGAGTTGCTTAATTAAGATTTTTTATAACAAGCTTTCACCATGGATTTTCTCTCACAATGAGGGAGGTTAATATTAATTAAAAAGTCATCATCTCTATTTCTATGCACTTTGTAGTTGACTCAAGACTACAAAAAAGCATAGCTAATATTCTTGAGAGAGAAAATTGTAATTTTTTCTAGGAAGAGAAATCTGAAAAGGATATTTTTCATTGACAAAGGGAAAGATATTGTGTTCTTTTACTGAAGAAGGAAAATTGGGTACAAGCTAATGTCCTTTCAGGACATTCACATAGATTGATCCTTCAAATTCTTGTGCGATTTTAAACTCAATCAATATCTTTGGTTAAATTCTATAAATAGTAGGTACGTACAGAGTGATCTCTTGAAAAAACTCCAATACTTTTTCTCATACATGGAGCGAATTATGTATGATCAGATCAATATAATGACGAATGAGAAAACATAACAATTGTTCCCAATTATAATGATCTCATACGGAAATACGGAATCCTAATGAGCAATATTATTTGAAATAATTACATATTTATGACTAAAATGAAGACTGTTTACAAAAATGTGATTAGTGACTTGAATAGTAATAAAATCATAGTAACTTTAACTTATGTTTAAATTTTAAACTTAAGTTACTATGACAGTACATAGTAGTAATTAATAATCATATTTGTGTCTATAAGTTTCACATTAGTAATAATTTTGTAAAAAATCCACCATGGACCTATTTTTCCAAATACTTTCATTTGACATAAAAACCACAAATAGTCCAGATCAGTATTTTCTCACGGTAAGGCTTTTCATAAATTTTCTACCATTGTCCTATAACTAATTTCTGATTTATTTGACTTCAACCTTCCACTTAATTATATATATATATATATATATATATATAGAGAGAGAGAGAGAGAGAGAGAAAAGATCCCATGAGAAGTGTCTTTTAGGCTGAAAAGTGAGAAGCATCCTCGATCGTCCGATCAACCCATACATCTTCTCGTCATTAATGGCATTTTTTGTAATTAAAATCAACTTTAAATCTTGTTCGTATCTTATGTCTACGCACAGACCTAATCCTTTCTTCCTTAAGCCTCTTTGTTCTTATTGAAGGGAAGGGGTGTGGGGGATGGTTTCGCTGCAACCTGGAAATCCGCTACCATGTTTCCGTCGATCAGTCTATTGGTTCATCGTTTGGGCGCCACTGGGAAACGAGGACTGAATCAGGAAATTAATGGTTGTCGGCGGCTCGAATCCGAAATCTAGGAAGGGATGTCAACGACTAATCGAATCATAGCAGGATCCTTCAGCGAAGAGCCAACAACATTGCGGAACCGTTTATGAGGCTAGACTCTCTAATTCAACTTCAGCGGCTTCCAGTCGGTCTCCACTTGCTGGCTCGTCTTCGAATCGACACAGGGATGGCTGGAGAAAGCTAGGCAATGCTGGGAGTATATGTATGGATCTTCGCTGCAAATCCTATGTTCCCAGAGTTGGTACTAATGTACTACTATTCAATAAATAAATTCTGAGGAACATTTGGGGGAGAAATATGTGTTTTCAATTGAGAGAAAATTTTTTTACTATAGTTCATCTTCTACTTGCTATAGAAATCTGTGTTTTCTAATTGAGAGAAACCTATGTTGCTTTTAAAATCCAATCAAATTGAGAAACTTTTTGAAGTAGTAAAGCATATGTTGTCTCTGCCTATTTATTAACCAATACTTGAACTGACCTTCAATGTTCCTGATCATAAACTTGAGTTGTCATAATATACTTTGCAAATTTCACTTTATAGGAATTTGTATATATGATATATCTTTCCCAAACTATAGCAGTTGACATATTAGTAATTTTGTAAGTATTCTGGGGCACTTAAAGACGTGGCTGCAGCTTCTCTAAATGATTTTTTCTAGACATTCTTATCTATTACTTTCATTTTTTTGCAAAAATGTATTATTTTCATTGTTAATCCATTCCTTTTGTGCAGGTTTATTACTATAGCATACCAAGTAGTAAGTTTGATACAACTTGGAGCAAATGTTGCACAGGTTTGGGAGTCCATCTTAGAAAGAAGAAGAAAAACAGAATATAGAGAGCAGGGATATCCTTTTACTATCTCAGTGTGAATCAAGACAACAACACTATTACATAGATTAGAGACCAAGTCAAATTGTCATGTCGTGGTTAATGACGCTTAAACTATGGTCTGGAATTCCCCTGCTCCTATGTGGGTTGCTTTTGGATATAGCAGGTAATGCAGCTAAACTGTGCGGATAATGCTCTTCGCATGTTAAATGAATACACAAAAATATTTTTAGTATTAGGGTAAGCAGATTCATTTTAACTTCCGTTATCTGTTCTTCTAAAGTTATCTGAATCTATTTGATCTTTCAATAAGAAGTTATCAATTTTCTGTTATAAGTTATAGATTTTATGCTACAAGTTATATGAACATCCTTAGACTGTGCTCTTAAATGTTCTTTTTAATATTTTGAATGACAGTTCTAGATGAGGTTTTAGTTATTTGGATTAGATTGAAATTAATCAGAGGGGCATGGGCTATGCACGAGGCAGCTAAATCAAAGGGGCTTTCAATCGGTCTCCACTTGCTAGCGGGTCTTTAGATCGGTACAAGGATTGCTGGAGAAAAGCTAGGCAACGCTGGGAGTATAGGGGTGGATCCTCGCTACAAAACCTCTGTTCCCAGAGTTAGGACTAACGTACCACTCTTCAATAAATTTTGAGGAACATTTGGGGGGAGAAATATGTGTTTTCAATTGAAGATCTAATGTTTGAACTTGAATGTTAGTTGCACATCCAATGTATTTCCTTTTATTTCTAATGCAAATGATCAACTATAGATTCTGAACAAAAGTTATGTCTTTTGAGTTAATAGTTATACTAATTTGAGTAAAAGTTGTGCATTGACAGTTAATCTCAAGTTACAAGCAATAGTCTTAATTTTTTAGTTCATTTTTTCATGTTAAAAGGTGCACTCATTCTTAGTTCTTGATTACATGACTGATTCTTTTCTTTGTTTTTTCTTTCGTGATGTTAATCCTCTTTTTGGTAGTTGGTATATATTGTAATATGTCATCAAGGCTATTAGCTCAAGTGGTAGAGCAATGTGCAAATATGCACAAAGATGCAGGTTCGAGTCCCGCATAGCCTATATAATTACCACCTAAGATGACCATTCACTTTCTCTTACTGTATTTTTTAAATTTGTGAGCACCTGAAGTTCACTTTTGCTTGTGAGAAGCTGCTTGTTACTTTGAAATTTTATTTATAAAAATATAGAACTTTATCAATTCTATCTTCTAGGCACTTGAACTGTGGATAATCTTGTTTGTGCAAACAGGTTGTGGTGATCAGTCTGCATTTTTTCATGAGTTTTCATCTACTCTGCAGCTGCTACTTTTTGTTCTTACTTTTTCCTTCTTTTTCGTTTCTTTTCCCCACCGAAAGTGCTTCTTTTCTCTCATTCAAACTGCCTGTTTTTTCTTTTGTATTGCATCCAAAACACTTCATTACTTATCATTTTTATTACACTATATTTCTATAATTCTATCAAGTATTTATAAACTATCAGAGAACCCTTTTGAGCTGCTCACAATTAAACTTGAGGAAATAGAGCACAGAGCTGTTCACAATTAAACTTGAGGAAATAGAGCACATGCTGCTCACAATTTCATTATCCCAGATTGCCATAATGGCATCACACCATTTCTGCCCATCTTTTACAACCCATAAGGGGGGAGATGAATCTAGGTCTTCAACATGATAACCACACATCATTTCCAAATACTCATATAAACTAATGCTAGTCAAAGCATGATTGGTTTCTGCTGCTACTGCCAATGAAGTCACCTGGAAGCTGGAAAGTGCAGAAGTGTTTGTAGTCTTTAGAATCGGGCTGGGTGAAACCACATTTTTAAGGATTCTAAAGACTTCGAATTAGGAACAGTTCCTCCAGTGAGTAATAACATGTTGTGTTTCTTTATATGCTCATTGACTCTATGTATAGAAACATCACCCTCAGCACGGAATAGCCCTGTCTTATGGGCAGAACAAGAAATCCATCCTCTCCTTGCAAATATAATGCAGAGGGGAATGCTCTCCAACATAAGGGTGGAGAAGAGTGAATCTGTGGTGCTTGCTAGCAACTTTGTTAGCGTAGTGGACTTTGTGGTCACATCCCTGGCACAAAGAAACATCATCTGTAACACAAAAGAAAGAGGCTTCCTCGTTGTTCCAGGCATCACATACACTGGATCTTCATTATCTGGTTAATTAAGATCAACTCCATTAATACCTTTCATCATATACTTTATACTTATCTAACATAAACATGTCACTACTCTAACAAAGACATTTGCATAATCTACCAAGTTCTAGAGTTAAAATAAATGGAGCATATACATGAAATTGAAGTTGAGAAAAATTAAATCAATCCACTTGTTGAGATAGCCTATGTGGGATTCGAACTCACATCTTTCGTGCGGTCACACGATGCTCTTCCAATTGAGCTAATAGGCTATAAGAAAAACATATAACTTTCCATCTTAAAAAGTTATCACATAATGTTTAAAAGTTGATCATTTTGATCTATTGGTCATTTTACTTATCCAGGCTCTAAAGTTTCTAAAACTCATAAGTTGTTGGTTTTGATATGTAACATGTCATTTTTAAAAGCAAATAGAACTAGTATTATAAGAGGTCTTGTTTAAATCAAGTTGCTGCAAGTCCCTGCAACTTTTAATAAGATAAATTAGATTACAAGAACTTCTTATGAATATTAGGATTTCACATAA